TCATGTAATGCATTGTAAAGATGTTGATTTGTATTGAAACTGCTGTAACTTTGTACCATATATGCCTTTTGTCATATGACCAACAGCTAAATAAAACCAGATGATTCCTTGCCTGTTTCTGAAGTTAGTCTTGTTTCTTGTTTGCTCCTACCCTAGCCCAGGTGTTTTGGGGCTCATTCTAGACCATCCCACAGGTCAAGGCATGGCCTTGTTCTGAATGATCATGGTGGGACTTTTCAAGATTGTGACTAGAAAAGGTAAGTTCATGCAGGGCACACCCACCCACACATAACACCTGCCTCTGGCCTGCTTCTGATTTGGCCTAAAGAACCCAGGGAGGCCACATTGCTTCCCTGGCCAGTCTCATACCCCTTAGTTTAGATCTCAGACCCTTAGAGAAGCAAAGAACCGGTAAGACACTTTTTGGTAGCCTTAGCTCCTTAATTGGAGCTCTGCCTGGCCAGCAGACGGCTGGTTGGGGAGGGACAGGCACTTTCTGGGAGGGGTCACCCCAGTGCTCAGGCCAGGGTCCCTACACCTAACCCTACCAACTTAGGAGCAGAAGACTTTCCCACTGCTGCAGAGATGGTTTGACCCTTGAAGGTATTGTTACAAGGTATGTAGGAAAGGGGTTGGCCAGATCCAGGTGAGATCCCTGTGGGCTATGAAATCTGATGTGAGCTTTGCTGGGCCCTGGTTGCTGGTGAGGCAAAATCCTTGTATTGCCTCACCTTGTGTGTGCTGTGCACCCAGTGTGGGTTTGAAGCGGAGCCTTTGAGGATGGCAGGATCCAGCCGCCTTTGGTCTGGGGTAGATAACAGGCTTCCTTTGATGTTCCCTGTAGATCCCTCTCTTGGTCACAGGACATACGCCAGCACCAGCATGGCACTTTTGTCCCAGCTGCCTGCTTTCCATTGGGATCCTGGGCGGCACAGTGTAGCATTCCACAGTGATGTAGGCTCATTTGTGGTGCTTTGTAAAGTTTTAGTTTTTTCCTGCACCAGTGAATCACTTGACCCTTGTCTGATGTAAAATATACTTGCAAATGTAGGGCCCCAGCAACTTGGAGGTCTAACTGGAGGTGACCATCAGTCCAGCACATCTTGCAGGATTTGTTTATATTCATAAGTGCATAAGAGTTGTTTACTGAGATAAGCACTGTCAAATAATGACAGAAACTTGGCAGCCAGGAGCTGCCCTGCTCTGAATGAGGCAGGAATCTGAATGTAGAATTGATCTAGCTCCTAGGATAAAACTTATTTTTCAGGCTGCTGCTTTTGTAACCAACTATTTGTCTGAATAAGGCTGTGAGGTTTTTGCTGTTGCTCAAACCCAGAAATGAGCTCTAGTGGATGTGTCACATTTAGTTCATTCATTCATTGATTGATTCCATGAATATTTGAGTACCTGTTACGTGCCTGGGAGTCCCTGGGTGGTGCAAATGGTTAACATGCTTGGCTACTAATTGAAAGGTTGGAGGTTTGAGCCCACCCACAGGTGCCTCGAAGAAAGGCCTGGCAATCTACTCCCAAAAAATCAGCCACTGAAAACCCTATGGAGAACAGTTCTACTCTGACACACACAGGTTCCCATAGATTGGAGTCAACTCGATGGCAACTGAAATTATGTACCTGGCCTTGTGGAGCAGAAGCCAAGCTTCCCACTCTGGTGTTTATAATCCAATTGAAATAAGCAGCTGTGAGTTCCACAACAGCGCTACTGTGGAGTGCTCTGGTGCACCAGGAGGGCCCTAGTCCAGCCTTTATGAGGGTTAAAGAAGTTATCCCTGAGGTTTTTTTTGCATTTTAAGGAGGACACGGAGGAATTGATGAAGGGGGAGGGAGATGGTGTTACAGGGGGCAGCTGGGGAAGACTTCAGGGCAAGTGAAGCACTGGAGGCCTTGCAGCCTAGAAGATTCAGCAAAGCTTATGGCTTAGTAAGGAGAGAAAAAGGCCATTTACTTATTTTAGGTTTTCGCTGTAAAGCGGGAACTAAAATCTATCTCAGAGACCACTGAAGAGAGGGAAGCTTGGGTGCTTTGTCCTGGAGTCAGTCCTGCTTAAGAATTTCACCCCAGCCACTGGAAACCTTTAAAGAAAGAAAAACAAATATCCAAGCTGCAGCCTTTTTTTTTTTTCTTCTCCTTTTTACTGTTAAACGTAAAGCCCCAGGGCAGATGGCTCTTTTAAAATGAGACTCAGGGTGTGGCCTTGAACAGGAAGGTCAAGATGGTTGGAATTCAGCTGCTCAGCATAATAAAGTAAAAGGATGTATTCCGAGTGGGCGGAAAAACTTAGGATCCTAATGGTTTGAGGATGCAGCCAGATCTTCAGGCTGTAATATCAAGCAAAGATGGTGGACTAAGAAGGAAACCTGGGTGGGCACAGACCCGGTGAGGGAAGATGTAGTGTAGGGGCAGGGAAGCTACTAAAAGTCACAGCCTCTCCTCTGGAACAGGAAAGATAATCCGGGGCAGATAGATTTAACAGACCACAGGTTTGAAAAAGTCTGAAAATGAATGGATTCAGGGGTTTCCCAAGCTCAGCATTTCCTCTTAACCAAGTAGTGTTTAAATGTCCACTTAACAATTTTCAAATGCCCGTGGGTCCCTAGACTTACCAGTCCTTAAAAGCACAAAGGGACTGATATTCAAAAGGAGACTACTTCCATCCCTCTGTCACTTTCTTCCCAATGACTGGTTTTATCCAAAGAAATTCCAGCCAGTCTTCATTCAGTTATACATTTTATTCTCTAATAGGTACAATACTAAAATAAACACAAATTAAAAAAAAGTTTTATTAAAACAAAACTGTACAAAAAAGCAGTATACTACATTGTAATTACAGAACAGTCTACTGTCCAAAAGGCACTAATCCAGAATAGGAGATACAATGATACAGGACTCATTTGAACTATTTTAATCAATACAACAGAGCACTTGTTTCTTTGACCATTTACATCTAGAAACAAGGGCTTTTTGCTACAGTCATTACACACTGTTATAAATATGAGTCCTATGGTTGAAGGTGCAGTATCCCTCTTCCTACAGGTTAACATCAAGAGGGACCATTAGGGGGCTGAGAGTGAATGGGCAGAGCTGGGGAGGGCCTGGGGCCCAGGGCAGCTGGGTGCCTTCCCTGGGGAAGGGCCTGTTGCCACTGGGCACCCGGAGCTTGTCTTTTGGCTTGGCCTCTCGCCTGGTTGGTTTCCTGGCTGCCATCTTATTACTGGCAGCCACAACAACCCCCTCCTGTGTTTTAGCACCAGGAAAGTGGGTTCTGAGATGCTCCAGGAACTGGGGCTGGAGGTCTGGGTGATGAAGCATCAGCAGCTCAGCAGAAGGGAGGCATTTTGGTAACCTGATCTGAGAAAGGCAGCAACTACTCTGAAGAGGGAAGAGGAGTCCGTGGGCAGCCAATGAGCAGGACACGACAGCCAGAGCAGAGCCACCTGCTGCTTTCTGGCCAAACTTCTGGCAAAGAAATAAGAGGTCCTATGCCTAAGTGGGGTGGATGCAATGGGGAGTGCATATGAGAGAGATTTGACAATTGGCTCTTTTGTTTCCTTGGAGGTTGACTTCTACAAGTGGGATTTTGCTTCCCAGAGGCAAGTCAAAATGCAATGGCCGTTCTGATTGGGTGAGGCATCTTCCCTCCCGTGCATTATAGGAACCCAAGCTTGAGTAAATGGGGCTGTTCACTTATGTTTTGTGGCCAAGACAACTCTCTAAACCCCAGATTTCATTCTTTAATGGACTCTGGGTCTAAGGAAGGGAGATACTGCAGCTTTCAGAACAGTGTCAGACACACAGAAGACAAAGACAGGCATCTGGATGTTAACAAAAATAAGTAACAGAAATATGATTAAACCAAATCTCTTCTCACAGCATCCTATACTACATCCTCCTTCTGCTTAGCAGAAAATTGTACGTACACAAAAATACAAATACACAATTTTGTAGAACAGTCTGATTTTAATATATTTATATATATTTATATTTATACGAGTGGCAGGTTAGTTCATCATATAGAGCTTTTTGCACTTTTGGCTCATATGCAACAAGGCTTATAAATTCAGCGTTAGCTTCCATTCAGGTTTTATAGCTTCTGAACAATTGTTTTCACATTTAAAGCAGCATCCAATTTGCACTAGGAGTTTGTGGTGATTACAGGAAAGATCGGGTTGGGAGGTTATTTAACGGGACGGGGAGGTAGGGACTGGGGAAGATATACATTCCAGTGTGTGTGGCAATGTAAAAAGGATTGTGATGTGGACAAAAGTATATACCATGGTGACCCTTGAGGTAGACTGAACACCTTACAGCAGACTCAGACACAGGTGTGACTTGCCCTCAGGGACACATGGTGCACAAGACGGGAGACCAGAGATGAGAGGGGACTCCAAATGGAAACACAAAAGACTTAAGACATACAACAGTCGGCCGAGGCGGGAGGGGCGTGTTGTCCTCCCAAATTCCTCTGGCAAAGATCCCACACAGCCCGTCTAGGTACGTGAGTATTTGGTGGATGCTAAACACTTTCAGGCAATTTGGCAGCATCTGGTCCATGGTATCTGATCAAATTGCTAAGGTTAAATTTGCTTTCTGTTTTATAACTTGCTGTACCAGCTAGTTCCCACCCCTACAATGAACAGTAAAACAGAAGCTGCACATCGTTCCGAAATGGAGAGAATTCCCCAGCACTCCGCTCTGGCTGGATGTTCAAGTTCAGTTAAGTGAAAAGAAGCTGGGGTTCTTTTCCTTGCCTCTAATTGCATTTCACTGCTACATTCCCTAGCTTGCTGCACTCTCTTGCTTACATTCATCTCTTTTCAATTACAGCCAGATACCTGACAAGCACTTGGTGGAACCTGTAACACACAGCATCTGGAGAACTGAGTGATGACGTGCTGCCCAAAAGTCTGGTTGGGTTTACATACTCCAGAAAAGCTTCATTTTCATTACTACCACAGCAGTATTGCTCCCATCTGATCACTTTTCATCAACAGCAACTTCCCTTCTCTAAGTCAGAAGAATTTCACTTGCAAATTTGCCCATACATGTTCAGTGAGAAGAATGCCCAGTGTTTGGTTTATTCCATTGTCTGAACAAAAATGCTGGATTATTAATGAAAATAAAGTGCTTGGATATGGATTGTTCCATTTTGCAAAACCTTTTAATGTATCAATAAATCATCTGAGTGCTGCTTAGTTACGTGATTTGAACAGAGTGCAGCTGCAAAATAATCTGTCGCACACCCAACGTGGAATAAAGGCCCCATATTTAGATCAGACTTCAGTTACTTTAAAAAAGAAGCAAATTATCTCATACTCACTTTCAAAGGTGCACTTTCGACCTTAGCACCCTACCAACGACAGCCTTTCTGAGCCCTTGTGAACAGACACCCTGATCCCTCAAGTCTAGGAAGAGAGGATGAGAAAAGGCAGCCAGGATTCACGAATGAGTCATCACATTTATTAATTATGATTATCTGACTCTTTGCCCTCTTGGGTCTGCATGCATTTCCAGCTGCCGACAAAAACAGGCAGAATTCTGCTCTGAGGCTGTCTTGCTCACCTATCTTCTTCCCTCAGTAAGATTTAGCTAAGCAATAGAAGACTCCTGAAAAAACTCTATAAACCAAGACCATAAGCACATCAACAGAAACACCACTAAAGAAGAAACACAGAAAAACAGTGACAAAGCCAGCCTGACGTAGCATGACGGTTTCTCTCCTGCTTGCCCTTGCAGTTGTTCTCCTGCAGAACACCAGGGACACTGGAGAAGGCGGCCACCCTATGCCCACCGTGGAGGGATAAGTGCAGTGTGGGAGGGAAGAAGGGTAGGGCATAGGACAACTCTCTGGCAGGTTCCAGAGGTCTGTAACTTGCTTAGGCACTTAAAAAGCATCAATAAAAATTTATCCTTGGAAGGTACTACATACACAGCCATGGGAGGGGGAGCCTGTGGGGAGGCAGAGAAGGCTGCGGGCTCTTCCAGGGGAGGCAACTATGATGTTCTTGGGATCTTCTGATAGCTTCCTACCTTGCAGCCTGGGTTAATCTGAAGTAATCAGTGATATGAGGGCTCAGACTTGGACAGCAGAGACCTCTCTTTCTTTCTGTGTTCTGCAAACCACTGAAGAAGTGGAGTGAGGCAAAGAGCAGTTCTGGGAGTGTCCTGATGCCTGCTCCAGACTCACTGTCATAGGACGTGGGGCTCGATGTGAGAGAAAACTGCTACGAAGAGAAGGGATCCTTTAACTTTGGTTTTGGGTTAGTGGTGCCATCCTCAGAGATGCATGACTGAGGGGTTCACCAACGCTAAAATACTGAAATGTGGTTTTCAAGGCAAATAATAACGATGCTTCTTGAAAGAAGTCCACAACTGAGCGCTCTCACCTTCAATCCACTCACTAATGTATGTACTTGGGCCCTTGTCCCCCCATGAATCTGCATGAAAACAAGAGTGTTCAATGTAGTTATCACTAGAGTGGCTGCTTGTTTACATTAACATAGCACTCATGTTCTTTTGTGTTCCAGTTTAACAGCTTCTATGAATGATGAAATGGAAAAATGACCCTCACAAGTCTTTTGCTGGGCTCTTAGTTCCAGAAAAGCAAAAAAAACAGAGGTTTTTGTGCCTAAAGGAAGCCACAACAATGACTGAAATTTAGGCTTGACTTGGAAGTGATACGGAATTGGAAAAGTCATAGAGGGAGGACTAAACCTTGAAACAAAAGTCTCATGACTTGTCTCACCATGAATATTACTTAGTGAAAGTCACGTCCTCCTTCCTCTGGAGGAGTTAAACAATGCCTCCATTTCAAAGTTCAGTGACACTCAACCACCGCCAGAGGAGAAAAACGTGGATCAGTACCACACTGGAAGGCATGCATGCCTTCTTCCCTTCAAATGAAAGTTTTTTTTTATGGGGGAAGGGGGTAGTGGATAATAAAAACCCCCATTAGCCAGGGAATGAAAAAATGTATCTATTATTGGGACCATCAATCCTAACTTCTCAGCCTGGTGGGTTCTCCTCCAGGTATGATCCCAATGCTGTGGCCCTTTTCAAGTGGCTTTCATACTCTTGGGCTTCCAGGATGTCCATGACGTGACAGAGTGGATTAGAAGAGAGAGATAATGAGAGAACCAACCACTGGACAATCACTCATTTTTGAAAGGAAAAGAGCTAGAAAAGGGGAGGGAGGAACATGGAATTTCAGGTTGGTCGAATCCTCAGGTCAGCTGTGAGCCCACGTCCTTTGTTCAGGGTCCCTGCCCAACAGCCACTGAGCCTCCACATGAGCCATGGCAGGACAGGGATCCTCCAACCCCCAAGGCACCTTGCTGATTTGCTGGATTCGGATTTTAAGAAAGTTCTTACACAGAGCCAAAATCTGGATCTGTCTGTCTGCGACTGCTATTTACTTGCCACTGAAGGCTCATGTGGAACCACGGAGAGCCCAAGGCAGGGCAGGCACTCATTCAGCACCAAAATACAAGCCTCAGGTTTTCCACAAGTACTGGCCTAGCACCACGGACTCCTCTGCTCCCCCACCTTCAAATCATGGCTGTGATGGCAGGGATGGCAGAAGGAGCTGCAATGGCTTAGCAAAACACTTCTAAATTCCAGCAGGGTGCCTGAAAGTTACAGGCACTAAGAAAACACTAGAAGAGCTGACTAAAGAGAGAGAAAGAAGGAAATGTGAGTGATTTTAACATCCTTTGCCTTCACTAACTAGAATGACACCTAAGGAGTACTAGAGAGTTCTAGTTCCCCTCAGTACTCACGCTGTAAGACAGCCATATATGCTTCTTCCCCAGTCAAAAGGCAAGACTTTCACAAGTGCCTCCCTGACACCACGGTGTTTAAACAAGACGTTTCCCATCACAGCTGCAGAGCCTCACTGTGTTAACTGCATTTTGGTCGCCAGTACCAACCAAGGAGGAAGGCTAACCAGTAGCAGATGGGATTACTTATTGGGTAAGGAAAGAAGCCTAGGCTATGGTGTCTAGACCATAACGATAATGCCAGTCCAGTGTTAGAGGGAATTAAGTGCACAGATAGTGATGGCAATGCTACAGTGTGACTGTGGGGATTCTCCAAAGCTGCCACAGGAGAAAATGAAATGGGTTCAGATCCAGTGAGTTCATTCAGAGCAGGGATAGGCTGGCTTTTCTTGTGTGGTCCATTTTTTGGTTAACAGCCTACTACAATGAAAGAAGTGACTAGAGATTTTACTTTGTGAGGGACTTTGTAGGGAGGTATTTCTCAGTGTAGGGTTGGTGAATCTTTGAGTAACGAAGGAGATGGTGTATGTAAATGCACTCAGTACAACTCCGGGCACAGCGAATGGCGCCTGCTGTTACAGTGAGCTTCGAATGTGCTCGCGGAGGTCTCTGTCTCTTTTTGTATTATGGTTTACAATGACAGCATCTTTACTCCAATCCAGTTTCTTCTAAGAATAATTTACTTACGATGTTTTCTTCCAAAAAAATACATATTTCATGGGTAAACAGTCCCTGTTTTCACTGATTTTTGTGAGCTGGGTTTCTTTTCTTATTAGGGGAAGGAGAGGGGGCTGTTAGTTTTTTTTGAGTCACCAAAGTCATCTCTGGAGACACCTGGGAAAGGAAGTCTTCCCAACTCCAGTTCTTTCTGAGTAGCACCATCCCTTCAGCAGCACATCTAATACTCTGATCCCTAAAATAAGAGATCATGTTAGAAGGTTTTAACTGCAGTGATAATTCTATTTTCTTTGAATGTAAGCAGATAATCAGAATGTTCTGCTGGCTGTTTTAATGCATGTCTCACAAATCACAGCATTATATTCATCTAGTCAGATCTCAGAATTTCTAATCTTAAGACATTCTAAATTCTAATGAAGATATTTAGCTAACTTTCAGCTGGGAAAATAAACGATGGGATGCTCTAATTTTTGGGGTCATAAATCCATAATCATTCCAATTGTCATGATTGGATCCTATGATAGGATCCCACTGCAAGCAGACTCGATGATGCATGTAGATCTGGAATGCAGGTGTGCGGGAACAAAGTTGCTTTTAGATCTTATAGGAAGAGAAATGCTGAGCAAAAACCTTTCACACGATCCTTTTCCTGATCTAGCGCAACTACTATACATTCGATTGTTATTGTAGGTATTTGGGGAGAAAAAAAAAATAAAAGAATCCTGTGGTGTAAGAACCTTTCCAAAACTCTAAAAGTGTGTGGGTTTGGGGGTGGGGAGAAGAGGATGATTATGAATAAGCTGCCTACCTCAGCATTTTATAAAACTTACTTTGTAACCAGACATTTAAGGTAGGTTAGGATCCCTTCAGATATACGGAGTGGGGGAAAGATACGTATGGACATGTACCAGGGGAAGCAGCAAAATATGGAAAGAGAACAAAAAGAAAAAAGGCAAGAGTTGTATTTTCTTTAGTGGCTACTAACCAATCCTGGAATGTCCAGCCCTGAGAAAGGAAGGGCTCCCAGACCTGGACTCACCCAGCACAACTGAGAGCCTCCGGGGGACAAACCACTCAGGAGGGATCTTTGGCACTATGTTGGGTGCTGGTGTTCTTGCAGGCTCACTCTTGATGCAGGCTCACTCTTGATCATAAAATTGAATAAACACTTCTGCAAGTGATGGAAAAAACAACAAGAAACCTACATATGCTAGAGAATGGCTAGTTAGTGAGACTCAGCAGCTCCCATCCAATGTGATGCCTCAGGGTGAGAAGAGTAGACACCATGGTCAGGGGCCGTGTAGGGAGTTAAGACCACATGACACCCAACAGGACAGGGTAGTCAGAAGGAGGAAAAGTGGGACGGGAGACAGCATGGATTTGGACGCTAGAGTGACAATCCTACTGACCCAGCAGAACAGAAGGGAAAACTCAGGATAACAAAAGAAGGCCCTGACATGAGAATGCTGGTGACTGCATCCAATAGTGATGTGAGAAAAGCTGGGGGAAAATTCACTAGTGTCCTTTTGCTCCAGAAGATTTAGGACATTGCAAGTACCAGTATTCCATTTATGCCACATAGCTGTTTAAAGCTGGCAGGTGTAAATTTATATGTGTTAATGCTGTGTTGTTTGTTCTAGATCATATGATACAATAAGGAAAACTTTATTTCACCCATGTATAAACTGCTGTTTGATAAATACCTTCTGACGGTGATGGCAGTGGACGTATCACATAACCAAGGAAAAATCTGAAAATCCTAGGGCTCTCATTAAGCAGTGAAAGTCCTTAAGTCAGGCCAACATGATACCCTAGCTGGTTAGCAAATGGGACAGTGACCTGGAAGGCCTGCCTGTGGTTGGCTGGTTTGGCATTCTGACTGTGGTTCCTGCCCAAAGGTGGAGCAGGTTGAAAGTGGATGTGAGACAGAGGTTTCAAATACTTTTAGAAGTCACATGGGAGCAATAAGCAAAGGCTTCCATTTTGAAGCTGAAATAAATCCAAATCCTTTTCTTTCACTTGAGAGAACATGAACACCATGTCATTATTTTAGTTTACTGGGTTGCTGTTCCAAATGTTCTTGGGAGCATTAGTGCTAAAAGGAAGCAGAGGATGGGATATCTGCCATTTTCAATCTCATAAAGGGTAGAAATTCTTTTAATTATGACCATGCCAATACACATCTTGCTAAAATAGCTAATAACATGTCAGGAGGACATTCAGTCACTCAGAACAATTGTCATTATATTTTTATATATTCATTCTATGCCACCCTCCTCAAATTACATGGTTACAATTTGAAAAGATTCAGCCAAACCTTCATTTGATCACAGCACACCAATGTGAATTTGAGAGTTATTATGGCTGTACAGAGCCACTTTTATTTAAAAGAGAGAGAAAATGAAAATGGAGTCGAAGGAGCTGGTATCCCAAGTGAGAGCCGGGCTGTATGTGCGCATACGCCCCTGATAGGGGTCACCTCAGAGCAGCGACAGCACACATCCCACTGCTGCCCATATGCCACCTGCACCTGGGTGCCTGGACACTCACCGGAGGGCACAGAGAGTCCAAATACCACTAGGGCAACAATGGGGCAAAGAGATCTGAAAACTTACCAAGTAAAACGGATGGCAGGGGAGGGAAAAGGCAAAGCTGCCCCTTACAGATGTAACCTTTGTTGTTAGGGAGCTGGCTGATAAGATAATGGGTGGTAAACTGTCAAGTGGTGTAAAAATGCTAGTTAGATTTCAGGTGAATAAAATGAATTCTATTTAGTTCCGCTGATTGCCTGGCCCCCAATGCAGTATGAAGAGTCAGACAGAAGTTAAGGGATGTGAACATTAGTAACCCTGAAGCACCTACTACATCTGTGAGACGGCTGGGTGACGATACCTGGTGTAAGATACCTGGGTGCACACAAGTTTTCTCTCACTCTCTCCTGTATTTCCTCACCCCTTGATAAAAACAAAACAAACAAAAACCACAATGTTCTAAGAAACGGTATTTCTCAGATCATGTGCTTTCTTGTTGCTGCTATTTCTCATCTCCACCAAGAAAGAACAATAAAGCTAACACAGAAACTTCTAGTTCTTGAACGTACATACACAGGGGCAGAGCTGCACTTCACAGAAAAATGAGTCGACCATCAGCCCTCTAAGATAGCAAGAGCAGCAGCATATCATTTGAGGCTAATAAATAAAGAGGATTAAGAACAGCCTTTCCGAACATAGCCTATTTGTGAGAGAGAAGTTTCTGTAAGCAGAAAACTGACTTGTTGGCTTGATGCATTCAAAAAGCCTTTCCTACCACCTTAGTACTGTAATTCTCTTGAGAGTAGCAAGGGAATCTTTCTTCTTAAGTGACAGTCATCTTTTGAAACAAACAGTATATAATGAAGGAGGTTACATTACAGAAAAAACAAAGGGCCTGTACTCTGACCAGCGTATGACCATGGTCTCCTCAGAGAATAACTGCCTTAGCAAAGAGAACTGGCCACTGAGAGTTGCCTCCTCTGGAAAACCTTCCATTCTCATTATTGTGCAATACCTTTAAACTGGGTGACTTAGATATTACTAGGCAGTGTAAATCAGACAATATGGAAAGAAAGAAACAGTAAGAGGGCTTTCAGGGCATGCAGCTCAGTTTGCCAAATTCAATATGGCTGACAACTGATCCCCAAATCCTGAGTAAAGATCCTTGCTATTTAAACAGCACACAAAAAGGAATGCTTTATATGTGTAACTCCCAACCTTACCCCAAAGCATCTTCCCTCCCCGCCCCCTAAAGATGCCACCAGCAGGAGCTGGTCAATGTGTCCAACTTTCACTTGGGAAGTCTTGACAAGTGAATCCGGCTCAGTAAAGCTATAAATGGATTTGGCTTGTCTCAATACAGCCCCAATGAATACAGTAGTAAAACATTACTGATAACCACAACAACAAAAGGACACAAACTATCACCACTGACATAAGATGAAAATCACAGACAGAGATTAACACAGAAAACCAGTACACAATGTACAGGGTCAGGACCACTCAATGTAGAGTGCTACTAAGAACACAATCATCAACAACAAGAAAAATTATTGCCTAAGAATTTGCTGAGACTCACTGGAGAAAAAATACTCTGGTTGTTCTCTGAACAACAAATGACAAAAAGCAATTTAAAAAAAGGCAGAGCCGTGAGTTAAATGGGAAGACTGCTTCTAACCAAACCCTTCTTAAGAGTAAAGAGAGAGTAAGGACTTGAAGTTCACATTTTTAGGACAGGGGTGGGAGGTCACTTATGAAAAAGGGACTATTTCCACTGTTGTGAAGAGAGATAATGTAGCTGGTCAGTGGAATACGTTGCTGGTCAAAAAGGATGGGCTTTCAAGGCAGGAAGGAGCGTCTGTGTCAAGAAATGGACCACACCCACCGGCTCTGCCAGCTGTCAAAGATAAAAGATTCCAGGTCAGCTCAAAACCAGTACTTAGTGCCGGAGCACAGAGGAAAATGGAAGAGGAGTTGTTCAGACTGAGAGAATGGGATTGGAGATTCCTGATTGAATGAAAGTCTGTTTTATACTTGGTGTCTAATGGTTGGAATTTAAGGGAAAAGTTTTGAAAACCAACGTTTCCTAAAGACAAAGGCCAAATAGGGAGAACTGAAACACCTGTATTAGTTTTTCATGAGTTTTTTTCCTTTGAGGTAAAAATACATCTGGATGTCTGGACCCAAAATGGGTGTTGTTTATCAGTGGACAGTGTTATTGCACTTCTTCCTCACGTCTCTTTAGGTGGTCATCCCTATTGGGCTGGGGTGAAAGGTATCCTAGAGGGGGCTTGAAGCCTTTCTGCCCCAGGTTCCTTCTTCCTGTGAAGGGTCATAGGAATGTATGTGGGAGGTAACATTTACCAACCACTTAACGGTTCAAGATTGTGAAGAAGGAAATTGCCCTGAGGGGCACTCCAACATTATAAGCTTTCCTGAAGTAAACCAAGATGTCTATTTGGTACTGAATGGCCCTAGAAGGTCTCAGATACGAGTGCACTGTATTGTCCTCCCTGGGCCTTCATCTGATGTTAGGGCTATCAACAGACAGGCAGACATTGAAATAGGATGGTCCATCTTTAAAAGGTCCCTATGTAAGGTTGTGTTGTAAAAAAGGTAGGAAATTCACCCATCTGACCTCAGTAATTCAGTTAAAGTGTCTTTAAAAACTAGCAAGAGAGAAAATAATTACAACAGATAAATTACATGAATAACGGTTGTTAAGATTCTCCCCACCCCACACATTTTAATAAAGTCTTCCTCAAACAGGAAGGAGCAGCCCCTGAGAGAGTCCTTTGGGGCCTGAAGAAGGACAAATGCAGTGAAAGAACAGGAACAGAACCACCAAAGGGCATAAAACAGAAATTCTTAAGAGCTTGGTTACTTTTCTTTCACTAATAGAGCAGCTTAGGGTTTCTAATTTAATACCACCTCTATAACCTGAAAAAGTTTAAGAAAAAAAAAATCTATTATCCAAAGATACTACAAATTAAACAGCAGCAACTCCATGTGCCGTTAGGAGAATGAAAGTGGCCTGGACAAGATAGCAGAACTGAACCTGAGGACAAACAGAAAACCAACGGAAGATTTAAATCTAGGTCCAAAAGAAGCAAACCCTTAGTCTTGGTGAAAAAACAAAAGTTATATGTAAGGCAGTAGGTCTTTATAGCAGGCTAGCAGTCTTCTCTAATTAGAGAATTGTCGGTAAAATCTTCCTTCCTTCTATTTCTATTGAACTGAATAGGATACTATCCTATACTGGTAGGAATATTCTTTCATTTTTACCACATTGCCAGATAGGGCCTGGTACTGCCTTCATGGATACTAATCCTCCAAAGCTTTTTTTCTTTCTTTAGAGGTCTTAAAATAATGAAACCTTTTAGCTTTTTTGTGGCAATCGCTGTATTTCTTTAGAAACTGCAGCTGTCTTAACAGTTTGAGTATGTTCCTTTAAAAAGACCAGCAAGAACAAATGAACAGTAGCAATCCTATCATAAAGAAGCTATCAATTATAATAATCTCCTTACAATAAATCATGGATGTGGCTTGTCAAAGAGTGTATTTTTTTCTCTCTCTCATTTTCTTTCTGATTCAACTGAGAATAAGCAGACAAAATTCCATCAAAATGAAAAGATACAGTATGTTATATTTCTTCTAATAAAAGGAAAGAAAGATAACACAATGTCCTAATTGAAATGAAAAGTCAAACAAACCAAGAAAGAATATGAAAGAGGGGATCATTCCTGAGATTAACAAATGCTACTCTTGAATTGGCTGGTTCAAGTAATACAGTAAAACAGGAAAGACCGCTCAGCTTTACTTCACTTCTTGGAAGGTGGAAAAAGCACATACATTTTCCCCCTGAAATCCATGGACAGGAGCAGGACCAGGCATGCACACAGGTCTCTGAAGCACTTTCAAGTCCTCTCAAAGACTTTTCCTCACACTTATGTAAGCAAAATAAACAGAGAGGGAGATGGTCTAGTCAGTGTGTGCCTTAAGTGGAGTTAGACCAGCTAAAAACTGGCAGATATATAGTATCTCAGTAATGAGAAGGGGAATAACAAGGAAGGTAAGCCTCTCTCTCTCTCAATGGTTTTAAGGTGAATACATTTGGTGGGGGAGGAAGGGTGAAGAGGTGAGGAAATGGCACCTTACTTCTATCTTAGAAATTGTTTTCAGATAATAGACATAACGATAGAAGCCCTGGTTATTAGCCAGCGCCATATTCCCCTTTAACCAAGGCTTCATTATTTGAAGAAAGGAGAAATGGAATGAGGCAGAAAATATACAGCACTCATGTCTCTTGCAAATGCACCCTATGCTGCTACATTGAATGCTGTTTTCTCTTACCTGCAGTGACAGTGTGTCATTTAATCGGGACACCAAGAGATCATTTTCATACAAGGCCAGCAGATGTAATTTTCTTTGATGCATGAATAGTTCATCATTTTGCTACTAGATGACAAGGTGATCACAGGGTGACTTTATAACACAAGTTCACTGTTTGGTATTTTGAGTTCTCAAAATGAAAAAAGGATTTATCAAATATAAATATCTTTAAAAAGTAACAAAAGTGCTACATATGTGATCAAGGAAAAAAATTCCATTAGTTACTGCCGCTTAAAGTAGATTAAACTTTACAAATATTACCACATCCATTATCAATATGGCTTCCAATTATTAAATAAATTGCCTGTAGCAATATAGCTTTTCACACCTCTACAAGGACAGAGTAAAGAGAACATCAAAGCAGCCACATCCTGTTGTGTTCTCACACCACCACAATGTAAGCGGTAAACGTCCCCTGCTTTTTTTCAGCTCCTATTTAGCCAAGTATTTGCACTTGTGATAGTCAGTCAGCATAATCCCACTATAAAGTCCTCCTCAACCTCTCATATTGAGGGGCCTCAGTTAATAGACACAAAGACAGTAAGTTCATTCACTCATGTTTGACCTTAGTTCCATTCCTGAACGACTTTTTTTGGTAGCAGGGAAAGGGAACACAGACAGGAGGCAAAGTAACTTCTGTGATGACCCTGGGACATTTCCAGGCAGGCACTGGTAATTGTGCCACATAATGTATAGTGGTTCTGAGAACTGGACTTTAGCATCCATAGACATTCAGCTCATACTTTTTCCAATGCTCTCAAGCTGGGTCTGGTTTTTTGTCCTTTTTTTTTTTTAAATCATGGTCCCAAAGGCAGAAGGCAGTATTTTATCTACTAAGTCACACAGCTTGTGACAGGAAAGGATGTCTGTGTTAGGCATGTTAACATCAACCAAAATCTGAGATCAAGTTTTTCCATTGACATTCTTAGCACAGCACCCAAAGAAGTATAATCTAGCCACAGTGTGACTATAATGAGGCACGGCTTATTGCAGCTGGAAATCAATTATTCTCATGCTGAGGTGGGGATTCTAGTGTTCCTTTCACCCTGTGGATACTCCCCAAGTGGTGTCTGTCCATCCTGTGCCACACGACCTCAGCTTGCATCCTATCAGTCTTGGGGAAGGAAAAAGGTGTACAGACTAGTGTTACATGAATCTAAAGGTACCCAAGATTTTACACATAGCCTAATATTTGAGAACTGAGGGCTATCTAAATACCTGGAAGCACTTTCTTGGAATGCTAAGACGGAGCAGCAAGATTTTCTAGCCTCAGAGGCTGGGAGAGAGAAGTCTGGTTGGTTGGTTGGTTATTATTTACTGGGAATTAATACTGAGAGAGTATATGCAAAGGCTGAGGGCACCATGCCATCTTCACAGAACAAGACCCTAAAGGCTAACTGACATACAAGAAACTGCAAAGTTATACTGTAAGAACACATGTTAAGGACCGAGGAAAGTCTGCTAAGGTGCTACATCTAAAACTAAGTTAATGTCTTATGTTTAACCCTTCCTGATCAGTCGTCATCCAGGGCCTCTGTCTTGATTTCGTTGGCCCCTTGACGGGCCAATGCCAAGATAGTGTGGTTGACTGCTGCCATTTCCACAGCTAATGAGATGGGGTCTTGGTGGTCACTATGACTAGTGCTGTCATCCTAGATGTGCAGAAATAAGAAAAAAAATGTTATTACTGGATTGGTAAAATTCTCTAGCTCACAGAAAGACATGCTGGGGCAAGGGGAGGCTGAACATTCAGGAAAGGGTCTCATGATAGAGTAAAGATGAACTGTATTTAAGTAGACACTGGATGGATACAGGTCCAGAGACTCAAAGTTGATGACATTTTTATAATTCAACTAACAAAAAGTACTAGCATTTTTTTTCTTACTGGGAATTTTATTCTTTCTATCAGAAAGATTGCTGATGATGATCAAACCTGGAGTGACTGATTTAAAAGCAACAATTTGGATCCTTCTGTTTGAAACAAATATAGAACTACTTCTTGAAGGGCCATACAAGTAAGCTATTAGCTTCTAGACTGATATTTTTTCAATCAGATAATTAGAATTCAGGGTATTTCTCTATTGAACTGAGAAAACTAAACAAAGTTTAAAACTACAGACCAACATCTTGCAGACCAAATGCCCACTACCTTACAGATAAAAATGAATTTTTGACAAAAAAAAGAGAAAGGATTTTTAATTACGACAGGACAAAAGTATAACTGCCTGAAATGGATATGGAAGTGTGTAATTCTCCTGCTGTAAGGCAGCTGTGTAATGAAAGTGGCAGGTATTTTATTTAGCAGGAGTGTGAAGCACTCCTTCCATGGACAAGCTCAATGTGTTAAAAAAATAAAGCTGTGAAAGGACAACTGGTATTTTGGGATGTATGTCAGGGACTGAAAATGGTGTTACAAACAAGGGGTAAGTTTCTCACCTGTCACGTCTTTAGGGGAACTCTGTATCAAAGAACTTTGAAAGGGTTAGTCCCTTAGGGAAAAAAGCATGGGATGTGCTACTCTTAGGGCATCTGTAAAACAAGATGGGAATGAGCCATCTATGAAAGTAGACTGAAAAATAACAGGAACGTTTCCAATCAGAAAGACTTGCAGGACATTCTCTTGAGTGAAAGGTCTGAGCTATGCTTTGGAGTCCTAAAACGAAAAAAGGTAACTCTTGGGAAGTGTGGATATCATGGTTTCATTCTCATTTTCACGGATTAGTCTTTAGTGTTTAAAAAGGATAAGCATAGAAATGCAGCAGCCTTGCAGTGTCTGCTCAAGCTGGCAAACGGGCTGCATAACAGGTGGTAGACAGAAGAAGTAGGGGAAACTACAGACTGGAACATAGCGGACTATATTTACGAGGTGGCTGAGGGGCAAGGAAAAAGTGTAAACACCCTGGGAAAGAGCAAACATTTTCCTGCTGTGTGGGGTCTAGGGGAAGAGGCCGCACATTCTCTTCATATTCAAAATGGAAATGAATTCTAAATCCTATAAACATTTTAACGAAATCTGACAATAGATATGGGGGGGGGTAGACTTCCACATTCTTAGTTACTGAATTATTCCATCCAGTGGCTATAATTAAATAAGTGTTTTCCAAGCAATGAGGAGTACATCATGGCGAGATGGAAAGACATGCAGGTATTGCACTGATGAAAGGATGTGTGTCAACGTGCCAGGGAGACTCTGGAAGAACCACTCATCTTGGCACGAGGGTTCCTACTGCAATGGGGCCATAGTGGGTGGGACTTGCCATTGCGTCCTGTATTGATACATGTTTAGGCATGGATTGCAGCTACCCAGTTGCCCCTAGTATTTCTCAAACATTGAGTGCGTGTGTGGTGAATGGTGTAACTTGCTTGTTTGGATCAGATCCTCCTCTCTTCTTCTACCTTCTCTGCTTCTCTGCCTCCCTCTGAACTTCTTCCCTCCTCCTCCTCCCCATTGCGTACTTGCCAAGTATCCTGTTGTATGACAATAAATCCATGTGGGTGAATAACGATTTCTCACATATTCAACAGGACAACTGAATCTTACCACATTCCCTTCAAATTACATGAAAATCTAACTAGACATATGAGCAGAGTGGAGGGACATTAGATTGTTTCCCCTCCCCCACCCCATACAAAACACACCCACAGACCTGAGTTTTGTCACACTGTCCCATCCACTCTGTAACCAAGAACGTCTGTTTAACTGCTCACCTGCTCTGAGTAGTCATTTCCATCGACGTCATCACTGTTGGAATGGCCTCCTGGACTCTGTACATCTATCCCATGACTCTCCAGGATTGCTGCTTCTTCGAAAAAAGCAAATAGATCCCTAAATTATCTGTTACATTATTATAATGGGTGAAATACTGAATTAATTTTTGTGCTGAAGAAATTAGAGTGTAACTAAACAAGAACCTAGATTCCTCTACTTCTTATTTCTTTTAAACTTCAGATGGATGAAATTCAACGGCCCACAAGTAGGGGAGATACACATTTGTCATTCTGGAGTCCCTGATGCTAAGCACATAAAGTTTGAGAAGCTGACTGTTATACACTTAATAAAATACTTGTTAACTAATTAAATAGCTCCCCAGTCTTCAGAGTTTACAAAGCATTTGAGAACTATAAGGATGAACAGGAAGTATGTTTATAAATAAAATACAATTTTAGAAGCTCAAAACCAATCTCCCATAGCAATTTTATCAATTCAAATTCCTTCAATGCTCTTTTTATCCACTGCCTTTTGCCGTGTCCCTTCTCTATAAAGTTTTTCATTCTAATACTATTAATCAGATATTTCCTAGTATGTATCTGTTACAGCCCAGTAAAAAAACAGAAGCTTAGGGTATCATAGTCCCTCTCTGAAGCCCCTACAAGTATCTTTAATGCATACCACAGAAGTAATCTGCAATGTAACATGTCTAGTTTTAAATTCTAAAACATTGAGCAATGAGTTCTATAAATAACAATGTTGTTTTATTATTATAATACAAATAGTATAAATAATACTAAGTTTAGATTATTAAAAATACAGTGAAGAAAAACATAAGGACAATTCTTGTTAGACTTAAATGCCAGGATCACTCAAGACAGTTTCTAACTGCACTCTTAAAATAAACACAATATTTCCAACGGTTTCAAAAGGAGAAAGCAGCCTTTCGGATACATTACCGATGTTGGCTCTCCTCTTGATCTCCTTCCGTCTGTTAGCAAACCAATTATATACTTTCAGGGAGGTAACTCGTTCCAGATCTGACAGCTTTTTGCCTGTGAATGCATGCAATAAAATTCAGATAACCTATATCTGAAACTCAAGAATGAACAAGTTTCAAGGGATGATATGTCTTTCTTTTTTAAAGACGCTTTTGATTGACTTTATGGCTAGAACAATTGTGGAGGTGATTTTCTTTTAGCATTACCTACTACCATGTACACATTAAAAAATTATTGAATGAATAAACACATAAATGAATAAAAAAATTGCAACTAGTAATATAACATGCTTCAATTTAGAAAGCCATACACATCATTTAATTAGCATCATTCTAGATAAATATGGTACTCTGTATTCAGGCCTTAAATTAAATGTTTCCTGCTGTCTTATGCAAGAGAATATTACATATGTTTTCTTGAAGACTACAGGTCACTACGATCATTCACTGTGGTAGCTATATTAGACTACACAATCCAACTATGTTGGATGGCAGAATTCAGTTTGTACTTCAGATTTATTATCTTCTTTGCTGTCAAATGTCCCTTCTTACTGATAGTACTATGCTTGCCAATAATGAACCATCTATACTACTTCCCCCTGCCCCTGTTTTTTTCTGTTTTTCCCCTTTTAATCCACAGTGGGCTGGGAAACCAGAAAACAGGTGTGCTAGGGCCTGGATGGTAAGGGGTAGAGTGTTTTCCAGGAAAAGTTCAAGCTCCTGAATGGCTTTAGGGCTGAAATAAGTGTGCAGATGCTGTCCCTTATGTGTAGTTGGAGCTGAGTTTGTAGGGTCTAGACTGCTAGAAGTCTGGCTTATAGCTAAGCGAGGACCAATTACTGTTTGTTCATTAAAATAATCAGACAAATGGAGATCAATCATACCATCTTAACTGAGAATGGTTTCTGGTAATAAAAACTGCAAAATGTGGAATATTTTAGCACATACAAAAAAACCACATATGAATTGTTTAAGTGGCTCTGTTGACTTGCATATAAACAATAGGAAGGATTTCAAAATGGAATTCTTCCAAGTTTTTCCTAGATAAGCAGAAGTTATCCCAATGTGGGAGAGAGAAGCCAAACCCCAAAATAATTCCTTTCCAAACAGAAATACCGAATTGTATAATTTATAACAAATGTAAAAAATCTAACTCAATATTTTTATTAACAAACCTTGCTTAAATATTTTAAATTTTAAAATTACAGTGGAATTGATACATTCATGTTCTATTTCTGAAACAAGAAATCTACACATTCTTTGAAAAAATAATGCCAAGGTCTCATATCCTATGCAGGGTTATTCCCTGGAAAGTTTCCAATGTTGAGTACGTGATTTTGAATACCATAACAGCATCCCTGAGAAGTACTGTTTGAACAAAATATGGCAGTAACTCCTAGCAGAAGGATGGCACAGACTGAGCTGAGAGCACCAAGGTGAGAAAAGTAAGATGAGATTTAGTGTCCTGAATGCTAATTTGTAATTGAGGGCTCCCCCACAGAGCAAAGCTATGCTCACTGACTTACCTGGCTTCTGTATAACCGCATTGCAAGCATTTGCAATTTCTTCTCTCTTTGCTTCATCTGGGTATTGATTCTCATTGAAGTAACTGCAGAAGCAACCAATAAAGATAACTTTTTCTTTTTTTAAATGTACTATCATTAAAACACTAATCCACTGAAAAATACTTTCTTTAAGATGTAACATTGGAGTGTGTAGACCAGGCTGCCAACAGAACCTTCTGTGATGATGGAAATGGTCTATTCTGAGCTGTCCAATACGGTAGCCACTACACACGTGTCCATTGAGCACATGCAATGTGGTCAATGTGGCTGAAGAACTGAATTTTCAATTTTACTTAATTTTAACTAATTTAAATTTAAATAGCTACATGTGACTAGCGGCTACTGTATTTGACAACACAGGTCTAGATACTGAAGCGCTGCATTAAAAGACATCATTGATACAACAGTTATTTTTGATATGTATGGCTGATTGAAGACACAGAGTTGTATTATCTGAAGCACTAGTAACAATAAGAATTTTTTTTGGTCTTATCAAACAGGATATCAAACTGCCCATTAACAGGAGAATGGCAGAACAAACTATGGTACATATATATTTTATACATGGCTATTTAAAAATGTTTAGGGAAAAATAAGTTAGAGCTCTATTCACTGACTTGGAGGGATGTTTAAGACATATTCCTAAGCAAGAAACACTCAGAATAATGTGCATGTAAAAATATCATTTTGGAATTAAAACTGCGGTCTGTGTGTACATAAGTTTGTGTGGGTAAAAGCTGGAAGAGTGCACATCAGGCTGTTAATATAGATTATATCGTTATAAGACAAAGCACATAGTGGGAGGAGATTTAAAACATTTTCTTTATTCATCTTTATAATATTTCACGTTAAAAAAGCATGTATTACTTTTCTGTAAGAGTACTTAAAAAAAAAAATGGCTTTACTTGAACCCATCCTTAGCATTACCAGACCTGTGAGACTTTCTATCATCTATGAGTTTAAAAGAAGAAGAAAGAGGATCTTTATGCCTTGAACCTGGAAACTTAAGATCAGGAAATGATCATTTGTCAAATTCTAATACCTACCATCTTTTCAGGGGCTTCCCTTCCCCTATAATCCAGCCTTTCCTCTTCCCTCATCACTCCTACCTGCACGTAGAAACACCATTTTATTGTGAATGAACACTGGAAGCCCCTAACCCTTCTCATGACCCACCCCCAAAAGGCAACTTCTGCCACCACCACTCCTCTCCCGCAAAGCCTTCTCCGTCCATGGAGGGCATGCCTTCACAACAGTCCCAACTCACAGAAGCTGCCATCACCCAAGAAGCTTTCCTTTTCTAAAATATAAGTCATATAGCCCTATTACTATAGCCTTGCCAACTACCATCCTCTGAATGGTCTCCTGCTTTATTCTACGATTAAAGTATCTAGATTATTCAACGCATTTATCATTTTGGGGACTTCAGTGTTTATACTGAAGGTCTTTCCATGTCATTGTCCTTGTAACTGCTCCCCTTGTCCATTTCTAATAACCTTGTCTTGACTTCACTTCTGCTATTTACTTGGGCAAAGACACTTTGGATCAGTTTCACAAATCAGCAGCACCAGCAACACCCAGGAACTTGCTAGGTGTATAGAATCTCAGACCCCACCTCACACACACTGAATCAGAATCTCAATTTTAACAAGATCTCCCAGGAGACATGAATGCACATTAAATTCTGAGATGTACCAAATTAGTTCATTCATTCAAAACTCAACAACAACAAAAAGCAGATATTAAACACCTAATATTATTTGCTTGGCACTGTGAGTAAAGAAGAGAAATAGACGTTTCTGACTTTAAGGAGTCACAATCTACTGGGAAAATAGACATATAAATAAATATACTTGTGGTAAAATGCAATAGATGTATGAACAAAGTACTATAGAGCACAGATGAAGGTGTGTTCAACATTGTTTGCAGGAGCTTGGGAAGACTTCTCAGAGGAAGTGACATCTGAGTAGGCCTTGAAGATGGGAAGGAGATTGCAAGGGAGAGAAGAATAGAAACAGCATTTCATGCAATGGGAACAGCATGTGCAAAGGTAAAAAGGGTAGATAAAAGCCTTGAGGATTCTGGGAAGAGCTTCAAGGATTCTGGGAATAGAGAAGAATTCTGTGTAGTCAGAACATGGGGTTTATAAGAAATGATGATATATTAGCTATATCAGCCTGGAAAAGTAGGGTGGGGTCAGCCTGTGACGAATCTTGTCTGTTCTGTAAGGAGTAATGACTTCATCCTGAAAGAAATGGGGAGCCCTAGAGGTTTTCAGCCCATCCAGAGATATACCCTCATCTGTTCTTTAGAAACATAACAGATCTTCATCTTCAAGGCTCAACTCTTAGAATTCTACCTCCATAATCTTAAATTCTGAAATTCCCCAATCAACTTTCTACTTAACTATTCTCTCCTCTTCAAAAGAATTTGTTCTGTACCTTCTTTAAAATCTCCAATCTCTTAACCTCCCACCAATTTTTTTTTTTTTTTTCATTTCAGTTTACCTATCACTGATCTTCTGGTGTCACCTCTCCTTTCTTAGCCTGAACTCCATGGCAAGCCAAATCAACAGTATTCTTTCGGAGAAATTTAAGATTATTTAGCTTTTCTGTCCTTCCACCATACCTGTCCAGCCAATCTCCTACCCTGCAGAAAGTACCTTCCATTTGTTTTCTTCCATCCTTCTCTCAGGGTACCAAGTGTTCCTGGACAAAATCATAAAATAAGGCCAATTGGTTTCTTTATAAATCTATGCTTTTCAACCTTAACTGGGCCCCCCATTTCTGCTGGGAATTCTTTTACTTCTTTCTAACTACCTATCTTTCATACCCCACTTACTAGAAACCTTTTCCACTATCAAGTTCTAAGCCCTCAAGCTCATCACCAACACTCTTTTTGCAGATAATCTTGTCTTCTCTTTTATCAAGGTAGAGATTATTTAATAGGAATTTGCTTAATTTTTAGCTTCTTAACTTTGAATCTTCTCAGAATCACTGCTCATTCATTCCTTCTTTTCACAGCAGAAGAAGATGCATTCTACTCCTGTTCAAGGTTGACTGCTCCACTTATGTCTTTGATCTCACCCCCTTTCCTTCATTTCCTCAACTCTCCCCTTTCTCTCTTGAATATCTTTTTTATGTGCCCCACAAGCAATTACTCTATTTCACTGATTGTAAAACGCATGTTTCTTCATTACGAATATTTCTGAATTCAGGATACATCTTACAATTAATTGGCAGTATATGTTTCTCCTTCATTGGTATATAAAATAAAGGTGTGTCTTACAACAAAGGTGTTCTCAGATTTGATGAATATGGTAGTTGCCAAGGCCTACAGGTCCTATTTCAGCAACAGCTTTATGGCCACTACAGCTCATTGTGGTAATTTTTCATCCAACTTATTGTAATGGCCTTGTGACTGGTACTCTATTGCCTCCACTGCCTGGTTAATAGTCCTAAAGCACATCTCTAATCATGCTACTATCCTATTTAAAATTTTTCAAAGATTTCTTATACAGGTGTTCAGAATCCTCTCCCAACTACCTTTGTACTTTTATCTCCTGTTACTCTGTATATGCATGCAACCATCTAGGAAAATAGAATAACCTTGTAAACTCTCTGTTCTGTGTGCCTTTCTCCTGCCAGTACATCTACTTTATGCCCTATCTCCAACTAAAATCTTGTCTACCTTTCAGGATACAGCTCAAATATCACCTCTTGGCCAACTAAAGGTATTTTCTTCACCCTCTGGATCCCACAGCACTTTATCTGTTCCTCTCATGTCTCTTACATCTTGTATTATAGTTATCACTGTATACATCTCTTTCCTACTACACTGAAAGCCACCTGAGGGCAGGGTGCAAGTCTCACTAATCTTCATACACACTCACCATCCATGATAGTGGTGAAAGTCAATAATGTTGGACAAAGTCACCACCAATGCAGTGTAAAACCAAACCTGTTGCCATTGAGTCGATTTTGACTCATAGCGACCCTATAGGACAGAGTAAAACTGCCCCATAGGGTTTCCCATAGATGATTTGAACTGCTGACCGTTTGGTTTGCAGCCAGAGCTCTTAACCACTGTGCCACCAGGGCTCCAATGCAGTGTAGGAGTCTCAAAAAAAAAAAAAAAAAAAGATATCACAGTGAATGCACTGTTGACAACTGGAGGTACAGAGCTATTTGCAACAGAATGGGTCTTAAAGGAAGCCTGGTGCCACAGTGGTTAAGACCTTGGCTGATAATCAAAAGGTCAGCAGTTCGATATACCAGCCACTCCCTGGAAACCCTATGGGGCAGCTCTACTCTGTCCTATAGTGTCATTATGAGTCGGAATTGACTCGACAGTAATTGGTTTGGTTTTTTTGGTTTTTGGGTCTTAAAGAATCACACTGAAGTGTTAGAAATGATTATCTCTGGGGAGAGAGAACGCTGAAGGTGGAGGGAAGATAGGTCAATATTGGTGACATTACAATTTTCTCATTCTGCTTTACATACTTATCAAGTTTCTGAAATGACCATATGCTATTTTTATAATTTTTTTAAAATAAAAGAACTTTAGGAAAACAATGAAACAATAAAGATCTAGATTAATGATGCTAAAACTCCATAAGCAATTTTTGTTGGAAAATGCATTTGGATCAGCTAGAAAATATTAGGATGGTGACTGCTATTCTAGTGGCTAACAGAATAAAGCTATACTATTTTTGGAAGTTAAATTAGAATTTGCAATTATTTATGGTTGTCATGGATTCAATTGTGTCCCCCCAAAATGTATGTCAACTTGGCTAGGTCATGATTCCCAGTATTGTATGATTGTCTACCATTTTGTAACCTGAGGTGATTTTCCTATGTGTTGTAAATCCTATCACTATGATGTAATAAGATGGATTAGCAGCAGTTATATTGATGAAATCTACAAGATTTATAGTGTCTTAAGCCAATCTCTTGTGAGATATAAAAGAGAGAAGCAAGCCGAGAGACATAGGGATCTCATACCACCAAGAAAGCAGTGCCGGGAGCAAAGCGCGTCCTTTGGA